ATTTTTCTTGTAGGACATTTAAGAGAAATTTAGAGAAATTGAAGCACGTTAATAGTGTTTTTAGCATAAAAAGAGAACACAACACTAGCCCATTTATGACCGAGTTAAATATTACACTGATATAGTAGACACGTTATAGTAGACATGTTATAGTAAAATGAGGAGGATAGTGGACCAAATAGAGTGTGTCACATTTCGCATTGTGAGATTGTTAGGGCTATGTCAACTACCCTAGTAGTTATCTATAACAAAAAACGACTCCACAGTTGGTTTTTTTGCTTTTGATCTCATTTTAATTAATTTCAATCAATTAATTGATTAATGTTTTGATGATAACAAACCTACTCTTAATTATTAACTATTTTCAGTATTTTGAACCATCCACAATATAAGGTTAGGAATAACGATTTCAATGACTTTTCAATTACTCAAATCAGAGCTAAAACGAAGAAATTACAGTCGAGACAACATACTCGACGTGATGATGTTGTAACAAAATCATTTTACAGTCGAGACAACATACCCGACGTGATGATGTGGTAACAAAATCAAAATGATGGACATATCAAAATATATCAAAGTATGACCCTTCTAATTTTATTGTTAAAACCCTATTCACCCCCCCTAAGGTTGCCATACCGATCCAACATCCACGACGTAGAACAACAGATCAGAGTTGGAAATACGATGACATACACTAAGACTAGAATGCAATTGTAACAGTCAAAACCCACCGCTAGCAGATATTGTCCGCTTTGGCCTATTACATATCGTCGTCAGTCTCACGATTTTAAAACGCGTCTATTAGAGAGAGGTTTCCACACCCTTACAAGGAATATTTTGTTCACCTCTCCAACTGAAATGGGATCTCACAATCCTAACATGATATCGGAGTCATGCCCTTAACTTCGCCACGAAAATAGAATCCTCAGTCTCAAACAAAGAAGTGTGGATCTCGAAGGTGTAGTCAAAAGTGACTCAAGTGTTGAATAAATGGCGTACTTTGTTCGAGAGCTCTAGAGAAGGAATCGAGCCTTGATTAAGGGGAGACTGTTCGACGGCTCTATAGGCTTTAGGGGAAACTCTATGGTATATTTTGTTAGAGTGGAAGATTGTTGAGAGAGAAGTCGCACATCAGCTAATTAAGGAGTTAATTATGAGTTTATAGATAAGGAATACATCTCCATTGGAACAAGGCCTTTTGGGTAATAAAAAGTAAGGTCGTGAGAGCTTATGTTCAAAGTGGACAATATCATACCATTGTAGAAGCCCTTATAGCTTAGTGATAGAGTGTTAGTCTTGTAAACTGAAGGTCCCGTGGTTCAATCCTGTGTGGGGGTAAAACATTTTGTGAAATTTATAGAGTATTCGTAAGTATATCATAAATTTTATTAATTGGTTGATCAACATCTCCATTGATACGAGGTCTTTATGCTCAAAATGAATAATATTATACTATTGTAGAAGCCCTTATAGCTCAGCGGTAGAGCGTCAGTCTTGTAAACTGAAGGTCTGTAGTTCAATCCTGCATGGGGGCAAGAACATTTTATGAATATGAGGCATTTATATTCAAAGTGAATAGTATCATATATTTGTAAAAGCCCTTATAGCTCAGTGGTAGAGCGTCAGTCTTGTAAACTGAATGTCCGTAGTTCAATCCTGCGTGGGGGCAAAAACAATATCATATATTTGTAGAAGCCCTTATAGCTCAGTGGTAGAGCGTCAGTCTTGTAAACTGAAAGTCCGTAGTTCAATCTTGCGTGTCTTTATATTCAAAGTGGATAATACCATGCTTTTGTAGAAGCCCTTATAGCTAAGTGGTAGAGCGTATTTGTGGAGATTCTGGTTCCTAACATGATATCTTCAGAAGAAAGCCTTAGCACAATATTCGCATGCAATTACAAAGGTTAATATTCGTTAACGGTATCTACAAATCCATTACAAAGGTACAAAGAAAATATATCCAACAAAGAAAATGTGTAAATTAGAAGAGAATAAAAGAGGGGAATTAAAAGGCTTGCTTCAAGTTCATACCGAGTGGAAGGAGTTCATGAAATTTGTTGAGGACTATTTCACAAATTCTCTACACAATATGAAACTATTCCCAACTGAATCCTCAGCCAACAACCAAACCACTCTCGTTTTCTTCCTCTGATATTCAAATTTCGCTCACTATTACTCAAGAAATCCTCTCTGTTCTCCAAGAAAACGCTCCCGTCAATAATGATTCTTCGCATTTTCTTCTACTCCCAATTTCTCGTGTTCTTCGCGATCTTCTACGCCTCATCCTCCATTTCCGCCGATCGGAGATCTCCTTGGGAAGGTAAGTGATTCGATTCATCTTCAAGCGATTTTCCATCCTCCATTAATGTATATGTTCAGGTATTTGATTTCTGGAGTGTTGAACGCTATTACAGGTCCCAAGTACATGAAGTTCGTGTCGAACGCGACGGAATTTCCTGTAAAAGATTACTACGATTACATAATCGTCGGCGGAGGAACAACCGGATGCCCGCTGGCGGCGACGTTATCAAGCCATTACAGAGTTCTTGTTCTAGAGCGCGGCGGAGTTCCATATGGAAACTCCAATCTAATGTCGCAGGAAGGATTCTTGATGACTTTAATGGACGAAGCCTACTCACGTGACTCCCCCGTGCAAGCCTTCACCTCCGAAGAAGGAGTCCCTAACGCTCGTGGCCGGATCCTCGGCGGCAGCAGCGCCATCAACGCCGGCTTCTACAGTCGAGCTGATCGAGCCTTCTTTCACCGCTCCCACCTCAATTGGGACCTCACGATGGTCAATCAGTCCTACGAGTGGGTCGAAAAGAAGATTGTATTCAAACCGAATCTCAAGAATTGGCAATCGGTGGTTCGAGACGGAATGGTCGAAGCCGGAATCAACCCTTACAACGGCTTCACTTTGGACCATTTGGTTGGGACCAAAATCGGAGGTTCCACATTCGACGAAATGGGCCGCCGCCATAGCGCGGCGGATCTTCTATCCTATGCGACGCCGTTTAACATCCAAGTGGCGGTGTACGCGACGGTGGAGAGAATTCTCTTGACTTCAACAGGACAGTTCGGACGCGCAGCAGTTGGGGTTCTTTACCGTGATCAAAGAGGCGCGTATCACCACGCGATGCTATGTGCGCGTGGGGAAATTTTGTTATCTGCAGGCGCTATTGGCAGTCCGCAATTACTGTTACTCAGTGGAATTGGTTCACGTCCGTATTTGTCGTCATGGGGTATTCCGGTGGCTCATCATTTACCCTTTGTGGGACATAACCTGTACGACAACCCCCGTAACGGAATCTCCATATTAGCACCAATGCCGTTAGAGCAATCGTTGATACAAGTAGCAGGAATAACGGAATCCGGCTCGTATCTCGAAGCGGCGTCTAATGTAATTCCGTTTACTTCACCGCCGAGGTCTTTCTTCATAAAAACCCCATCGGCGCCGGTTTATTTGACGGTGGCGACGTTGATGGAGAAGATAGCAGGACCGGTATCATTCGGTTCGATGCGACTGGCGTCGACCGATGTGAGAACCAACCCGGTGGTTCGGTTTAACTACTTCAGCAACACGGTGGACTTGGAGAGGTGCGTGAACGGGATGAGGAAGATAGGGGAGGTTCTGAGGAGCCGGTCGATGGAGAGTTTTAAGTTTAGAGAGCGGTCGGGGCGGAGGGAGTTCCGGTTCGTAGGGCCGGTTTATCCAGCGGATGAGGGGCGGTTGAGGGAGTTTTGTAGAGAAAGTGTGAGTACGATATGGCATTACCATGGCGGGTGCGTGACAGGGAAAGTGGTGGAGCGTAATTATAAGGTGATTGGAATGAAAGCGCTGAGAGTGGTCGACGGGTCGACTTTTGGGGTCTCGCCTGGTACTAATCCTCAGGCCACGCTCATGATGCTTGGACGATATGTCGGCCTCCAAATTATCAACCAACGACGCTCCTCTGCTACTACCACCTAGTTTTTCTGCTTTTCTCTTCTTATCCGGATTTTACATTTACCGCGTAATGAATACTTTTACCACAGATTTTCCCCCCTCCATATTATCAATTTTTTTTTTCTTTTTAAAAAACCAAATTACCACTTCACATTTCATTTTAGTTTGGGTGAAAAATAATCATGACTCTCCTGAGACTTATGGAGCTCTCCAATAATCTTCCTTTAATCGAGGCTCGACTCCTTTCTTTGGAACTCTCGAACAAAGTATACACCCTTTGTTTGACACTTTAGTCACTTTTGACTGTATCATAATTTTTTTGTAGGATTCTATTGACATGGTTAAGTTTAGGGCATGACTTTGATGCCATGATAGGAATCACGACTTCCATATTGTCTACTTTGAGCATAAGCTCTCATAGCTTTGTTTTGGGCTTCTCTATAAAGGCTTCGTACCAATGGAGATAGTATTTCTCACTTATAAACCCATCCACTAAATTAATTAACGTGTGACTCAGTCCCAATAATTCTCATCATTATTAATATATTTTATATTTAGTAGTGGATAATTGTTGTTATGAAATATGAAATTACAAACTGGGATGTAAATGATTTTCTTTTGAAGCTAATTAATGTGTTTTTTTTTTGGTCCAATGGTTAAATTTCTTTACAATTTTATATAAATTAGACGGTTTACTTTATCATTCAAGATTCACATCTCAAGTAAGATTTTTATTTTATTTTTTATTTATATTTAAGATATTCAATCAATAAAGTAATTTTCTAATTCTTAAATATTTATGTTTAAAATTAATATTTTTAATAAAATTGATTAGATCCGAATTATTAAAAATTGCAATGATTTTAAATGAAATGAAATTAATTTAATTTGGAAGTAAGTTAAAGAGACTAATGGCTAAGGACAAGGTATGACGCTAGGCGTTGGCGCGCAGGTTGTCATTAGGTTTTTTTTTTTTTTTGCGGGAAGCTTCCAAATCCGTGTCAGAGCAGAGAAGGCCAACAAATTCAGCAAATTTGTGAAGGCCAAGAAGTTGGTGGAGAATTTTGATAGCTGCTACCTCACTATCCTTTACTCTGGTTGATTGCGCATGGCCGGTACTGGAATCCACCCGTACCACCACCAATGGTCTCCGGCGGCTGCCCCTCCTCCTCCGCCACAAGCCACTGCCATCGCTCCTCCTCCTATTCCCTATCCCCATCCTTCTCACATCCTCGTCGACAACCCCGCCCGTCATGCCTCCGATGAGGTACTTTATTTCCTCTCTTCATCTTTCTTAATTTGTAGTACTCAACTCAGGATCTTAGGCAGTTCAAGATTCGACTAGAGGTTTTACCGAGTTCGGAGTTTCAATTGATTTGTTTTTGTGTTTTCTTGAATTCGGCTTTTATAGCTGGTTATGTGTAGTTATTTTAGGTTATTCTGCTCAAGTAATCGTCGTGGAAAACTTTGATGGTTTCTTTCTGCTATTCGATGCTCTCTGAGGCCATTTCTTTTTTAATGTTGTGTTGTTTTAGGTTCGGACTATATTTCTAACAGGTCTTCCGGAAGATGTGAAAGAGAGAGAGCTACAGAATCTTCTCAGATGGTTACCTGGTTACGAGGCTTCGCAAGTAAATTTTAAAGGTGAAAAGCCTATGGGCTTTGCTCTCTTTTCCAACGCTCAGCTTGCTATTGCTGCGAAAGACGCCCTTCAGGTTCATGTCTTTGCCTCACTGTTTTGTTTACTGATCTTGAATTGTCAATGTTGAAGTGTCGGTTGCTTTGATCTTTGTGATTTAGGATATGGTTTTTGATGCGGAGTCTAAGTCAGTGTTGCACACGGAGATGGCCAAGAAAAATCTTTTTGTTAAACGAGGTGATCTACTAGCTTTTATGATTCTCTTCTGCTTATTCACTAGGGCTTTCTTGTGAAGTAGTGATGTCCTCCAATAACGCACACATTCGTACTTGGAACAGTTACAGATTACCTTCAGTTTTTTTCTCTTTTGTTGTGCAATGATTTCAAGCTTTAAACAATTCGTTGCTCTTTTTTCTTTTTAAACAAAGAAAGAAGCAAAATATTGCTTGATTTGCTAATCTTCGTACTACTTGCAGGCATTGTTGCTGATGCAGATGCTTATGACCAAAGTAAACGTTTGAGAACTGGTGGTGAATATGCCCACACCGGGTATTCGAGCCCATCACCATTTCATGCACCTCCACCCCCTATTTGGGGACCTCACGGGTGAGTCTTCTCTTTATGAAAACTGCTTTCCCTTCGAAGTTAGTTGTACGTGTTATCACCTGAGAGATGTTTTATGGTTATGGAAAGGGAGTAGGATTCGTTAATAGCTGAATTTTCTCTTTTTCTTAGCCTTTTGTTTGCTCCCACCCTCGCCAAATGGCACTGAGTTGTGATGTTCAAGTTCCTTGTGGTTTGTGATGAACTAGGTATATGGCTCCACCTCCTCCTCCATATGATCCATATGGAAGTTACCCTGTTCATCCTGTACCTATGCCTGCTCCTGCACCTGTACCAGCACCTTGCAGCTATGTGCCTGTTCAGGTAATCCTTTTACAATCTCGATGGCACATTGAACTTTGGCATCACTTTCTTGCAACGACCATCCCTGGAATAGGAGGCTTTATTTACTATAACTATTGAAGTTGTTACCATGAAGATATCATGGAGTGCCTTGACTTATTGTTTCCACTGGGAAAAGAACAACTTTTGTTGCGTGGATTTTATCTCATTTTTCTCCCGTTTCCTACAGAACACAAAAGATAATCCTCCTTGCAATACACTGTTCATTGGTAATCTGGGGGAAAATGTAAATGAAGAGGAGCTCAGAGGTCTTTTTAGCGTGTATATAAATCTCATCTTTGCACAATTTTTCAATTGTATAATCACGTGTATGAATCATCCCAACCAACTGAATGTTTGGACCTCTGGTTCTGACATATCATGCAGACAACCGGGATTTAAGCAAATGAAGACTCTGAGGCAGGAAAGGCATAAAGTCTGTTTCATTGAATTTGAAGTAAGTAGGTTTTAGTTGACTTGACTGTTGATCATTTAATGTCATGTTCAGGTTAAGGATTATCAACCTTCCTTTCCTGCCTTCTAATTTGTTGTCTGCTTCACCTATATAGGATGTGAACACTGCCTCCAATGTGCATCATCTTCTGCAGGGTGCTGTTATTCCTAGTTCTGGCTCTGTGGGCATGAGAATACAATATCCTTTTCTTTACTAAATTGTTTTGTTTGATGCTAGTTATAGAACGATGCTATCATCGTACTGGTACTTCTGAATAGTAAGTTGCTGTTTCGCCTGACAATGCAAGTGTTGGACTGAATGATTTATCTTATTTGATGGCTGGCTTGTGCCACTTTAGGTAATAATCTGGGAATCTTTTTAAATCTGTAGGATGCATCTCGGTAAAGAAAATTAGTGCGTATCATGTCTGTTACGTTTGAGGTATTTTATTGGATAGGCTTATTTTGTATTTGATGTCTATTTTACATTTTAAGGTCACTATGGAACTCGATATATTAGTACACGTGTCTGTTAATAAGGAATAATTTTTTTCCCTTTTCAGTAACCTTTCCTAGAAATTAGATTCATGCATTTTTTGTTGAATGTGTTGCTTTACGTCATTAGCAATTAACTATCATGTTAACTATTAGGTTTTGTTTCAAAGATTGAAATGCAATTCTTGTTGATGCCCATCAACGTTTGTGATCTAGGTAATACAAACATGTGCATAATGTGATTTCATCAACCAGGCTTAGTTGCACAGCAATTTGAACTAGTTGTTATTTCATTTATTGTTGCTTTCATGATTGAGGATAAATGTTTCTTCTCTTGACTCTATGAATACATTTTCGAAGAACCCGTTTGGTAAACGGAAAGATGCTACCTATCCTGTTTCTGCTCCTGGCGCCAATGGAAGTCCACATGCTATGGCATACCAATAGCGTGAAGGGGATGTACTCTGTTCTTTTTGCTCCGACAAATTCAAGCACTAGATGATAGGATGCATCTTGCAGCAGTTGCATGCATCCATGATCCATTTCATATCAAGTCATCAGCATTTTCATCTCCATGGGAATGATTGCTCATATTGGTGTCACAAGCATTCCATTTGGAAGCATGTTACTAATGTAGTCCCTATTTGTGACATGCATTTATCAGAACTTAGAAGATTTAAGTAGCTGGATTATTTGTGGGGTGTGTGCTGTGCATTGGTCCTATCCTGTTTTTTTTTTTTTGGTTGTGTATGAGTATGTAGCTATTTATCTAAATGGATTTCTTGATTTATTAAGAGCATCCACATGTAAGGTTCAGTCATTTCATCTCACCTTTCGCAATTTCAAGTCGGTAGGGGTTCCATATCAAGGTGCAACTCTGGTAGGAATGTAGGGCACGTAGGCCACCAGACAACGCATCATGCCATTATTAGCTTAATCACTTAATCATTTACTTGATCATCACGACCACATCATTAGCTTAATCATTTACTTCATCCACCAATTAATTCATGATGAAGTGTTCACATTCAAGCAACTAAGGCCTTTGTTTCTTAAGCATCAAAGAATATAGTTTCATTTACATACAGATTCCGACTTGAATTGACCAGGCTGCTATGCGTTTGAGGTTCAATTTCAGGTGCTATCTGAAGCTCTTTTTTCTAGGCTTCTGACTGTGCAAGACCCCTCATGGAGATGACGCAGATTTATAGAGCCAACTGGACCATGATTCAAACAACCATTTCGATCCACTGCTCTGCTCATCATTGTCGAGTTTGCTGGATGCATACCTGGCTTGGCTGCAAAACCGGAGGAAATTGATGCCTTGGAAGAAAGGTATCTAAGATGAACTTATTCTTGCTTAGGTTTGCCATTCTAATTTTTTCATGGAGTTGTCATTCTTCAAACTTCTATCTTGTTGACTTCAAGTGTTTTAGAACTATTTGGACGTACAATCTCCTAGACTTATAATTATTACCCTCTGATATGAGCTTGGAGATATTTCGTTCCTTTAAAGTTACCTTACTCATGGAAGGATTAAAAAAAACAAAAGAACTTAGTCAAGCTCAAACGAAAGCTAGTGATGAACGTTGGACACAAATGAACAAAATCACAGGTAAAAGTCCTGCTTGTGTTAAAGAATGGACAAATATAGTATTAGAATAGTTTGTTCGATAATCATTTACAAACCATGGCTGTGCAAATATATATAACACGAACACGAACACGAACATAGGGAAGCCTCTAAAACCTAAACAGGAAAGAGAATCAAACTTAAAGAATGGATGAAATTGACAGATCTAAGGGTGGTAGGAACTCGAATACCGACCAGAAAATTCACTCAACGAACTTGGTTGTCTAATTTACAAGGAAGAAATTACTGAGTTAGGAACTGGCATGAGATCTAATAGAAGAAACTGAGTGTGCCGAAATTGAGGCTGTTGGGCTGTTAACATCTCTGTCCCCATTTGTAGCCTTTGGCATCCCACTTAATCTCTCTACTGCCAATTGACAAACATCATCGAACCAAACATCTTCCGGTAGTACACTGACAGGAAACAGATTGAATCTCAGAAACACTAAATAAAGTTACAAAATTCATTATAATCTAAGATGGAAACTTAAATTCTAAGCCATTTATACTGCCTGGTTCTAGTTCCTCCAAGATGGCTTTCTTTTGTTTCTCTCGAGTGAAAACACAGTCGTTATTCCGAAGCCGAATTCAAATCTTAGGGCGTTATAAACACAATGAACTTATACTTTAGCATGCAAGAAAACGCTTATTGATTATTAAGCATTCAGTACAGTGTGTACCTATCTGGATCCATTCCTGTTGCAGCAAATGCAGCCATTGCTCTTGATATGATCTCATTCACAACTCGATGCAGGTTCCGAGATAAGTATCTGCCTTGGGCAGCAAAGCAAATCACAAATTTCATATCCAAGTAGAACTGCACAAATTACAAACAATTAAGTACTGATGCTCTCACCCATAGGCGAAGAGGTTTCATCAAATCACAATGTAATATGACTATGTAGCAACAATGACGCCCACCTGTTGAAGACCAAGAGGTCCTAGTGGTCTTGGCCCTTCCTCAATATCATCCCAAAAACTTTGGTCCCCCGAAAGCCACAACACGACGGTTTCTGTGAGCCTCATCAATAGTAATGTACCAAATCTTTCCCTACCGACGAACGTATCAGCTGCCATACTTGCCATTCTGCTAAGCTTTACAAACAGTCCCTGAATTGTGATCAAACAACAGGGTTAGGCTTCCTATGGAACAATCAAGCAATGTTCCTTTCTAATTTGGCTTTTGCATGCACAGATATGCATAAGTGACACAAGAACCACTCAAAATACCTGGAATATCAGAGATGGGAACCATTCAACTTCATCCATGTTTCCACCCATGTTTAGGTACATCTCAGCGGTCAGATGGCTGTCCCCGTCCTCGGTAAAAATTAGATCAAGAGCATGCTGTCGACAAAACGTATCTTTCAATCTATCCACAGAGCTAACCAGCCGCCTCCTCCACTCCCTTTGTTCTGGATGATGATTTTGCTTGTCTGAAAGTCTTCGACGAGGATCGTCCTTATAAGCAGTCTGAGTTGCCGGGGCCAGTTTCATGGCCGCACGAGGCAGTAGTTCATCTGCTAACAATGACGCATTTGCCAAGAGCGCAATTTGCTGAGCTTCGGTTTCGGCCAACCGCACCATCTTACTTCCAAAACCATCAAAATTTGCTTCGTCTTCCATACCAGGCAAGGCTTTGATTAACATATTGATGTATGAGTCAAATACTTGGAATAATCCCTCCAGAGTTTGACTCCCCAACTGCATACTAAGTAAAGGTCCCACGTCCTCGAAAAAATCCTGCAGGGGAATGTTTGGAAGAAAAAGATTGAGGGCAGATATCATAACAATAAGAGAAATGAAATAACGAAGATCATATTTCGTCCCGAAGTGCACAATCATGGATATGTAATCCAACTTCCTTCAACAAACCCCCCGAACAAACGGGCACGCATGCAACATACAAGAGTTTTGATATGGTTCACTTAGTTCGAAAGAAACATTACAGAGTTCCCTATCTCTCCATACCTCAGACTAGCCACATAAAAAATGAACCCCTCTCATGCATTCTCTAGATTCACTCACTTTCCCTTCACGTAATTCCAAAGGGACCTCCGGGTATGGATCACCGTGTTTCAAATGTTCCAACTGAATCTATTACACGATCCAAGACAAAAAAGATTCAACAAGCATTCATTCTTCATTTAAAGAATATGATAGGCTCGGTTTAACATTCATTTCATGTGTAAGCTGATTCGATTGAGGAAGGACCATTTGGAGCCTCAGAAGTGAATATTTGCACGATTGAAGCAGTGGATGGGGTTATTATAAATAGCATTTGATTGAAAATTTCTTAGAAAACTATAAATACCCACAAATTACTATACACAAGGGAGCTTTTTTATGAATGAAATTGAGCTCTCACGTTAGACTTTCACCCTTAGAATTTGGGGGTCATCTTTGTCATTTCTAAGTCTCAAGCAATTCTTGTGATAGATTGCATTCGAGCTATTCAATCAGCCCTGATCAAGTTCGATTGTGGAGTGACTCAATTTAGAACAAGGTTCCAAATCTTGGTTCTAAGTTTTTTATCCGAGAGATAATCTAATTCTAACCTTATCTTTTGGTTGATCCAAATTTGGTATAAAGAGGGATTAATTTTTTAGATTCAAGAGTTCTTGCTTCAACAAAAGCTTAACAAAAGCTTGAATCATTGGGCTGAGGATTAGGGTTGCCTTATCACCTCCATTTAGATCGCATCTCTCCTATCAAGTATACATTACTTTCCGAAAAGAACAATAAACTAATAATACATAATTTCATAACAATCACCAAAACTAATATAAACACAGCTACCCCACCCACCAACTCACCAAATTCATATCATAAAAGAATAATTGGGTGGAAATGTTTACCTGGACCATAAAATTGAACCGGTGAGCGCTACTCGTCAATTTATGTTGGAATGCTGAATTACCAAGAGCAGTGCTCGAAGTTCGGCCAGATTGGCGTGTCGTTGGAGCATATGTTAGTACCCAATCATCAGCAGCAGCCAAGGCAGCCGTGCTTTCTTCAATTCGTTTTAAATTGGCTTCTAGTGCTTGTTCAACACTAGGCCTGAAAAGTCTTAAAAGCACAGGGCAAAGCGCCAAACCACGACCTTCCAATAACGAACAATGACCTAAAGCAATTTGAACACACTCTGCAGCAGCTCTGAGACCTCCAGCAGCAGCGGATGAAGCTAAAGCATGTCGTTTCACAAGAAGGGCGAAAGCCTCCGTTTGTTTCGTCGCCCACATCACCAGCTCAGACGAATAAGCAGGTTCTTTACCGAAAATAGCCAAGGAATCACTCGAAGCTTGAGCAATGGCTGAGAAAACCAACTGGGAAAGCGCAGCGGTATAGGCTCCTCCATATGAAGTGCTGGATGGCCTAAAGCTTTGCATATTGTACTGATACCTTTGATAATGTGCTTTTAGTAACAAAGCGTGAGCTCGCGGTCCATCTCCTAATTTGTTGAGCGCTGATACAGCCGCACGGAGTTCAACACCACGGGTAGAAGGCTGACAAGCAGCCTCAGTAAGCTGATCTGCTAGCCGTTGCCTCCGTTCAGCAATCGATGATTGCAGAGACATAATTACAGCTCGGCTCAACGTTTTATTTTCTTTCGCCGAAGAAGCTATCCTCTCTCCCTCGTCAAGGGCTGCCAAAGCTTCATCGACTCTTCGTTCAGCTAAGAGAACATCCAAAGTATCAGGATACTCCACTAACCATTTCTCAATATCTGAAGGATTGTCATCCCCTGAACCCAAAAAGCCATTTGGAGCTGTGCCTCCAGAAACAGAGGAAGGTACTGAATCAACATGAATCCCTTCAGCTAAACCATGAATTAAAGCAGTCTGAGTAGACATAAGGGTTCTAATGGATGAGAGCTCCACCTCTAAGTCTGATATCTCCTTTGATGTGCTGATAGAACATAGCACATGATATCAATATAAAGAATCACTACGAATACAATTAACATTGAACATTAAAGTTGGTACGACGACTATTTGCGCGCTTATCTCGGTTTATTCCTTAACAAAATATACTGTTTGATGTTTTCCATGTCTACATTTCTTCAAACTAACAAACAAACAGATAAAATTTATCCCTAACAACGAAACGAAAATTCTTCGTTCGTCATATGGATCTGCTAGTTCCATCCTTCAAAAGAGCTCAATGTTTATCTAATGTAAGAACTCCGAGCTACAACTTACCGGATAAAGGCAGCATAATTTGCATAGACACTTTTACGCATTTCCTCAGCAGAAGCTTTCTTCAACTCCCAAAGATAAGTGCATAATTGCTTGATTTCCTACAGAAGTAGAAGACAGTTCAAATCAGAGATTTGATTAAACAGAGAAAGGTCTGTCTATTTGGCATGATAAGAAGCTTTGATTAAGCTATATATGCTTTCATCTCCTTTCTAAGTAATTCATGTCATTTTGCTTCAGAAACAGATGATTCAGAGAATTAAAAGTGAATCGAAATGTTTTGAATTGACGGAATAGTATTTTGATTCAACAAAATCATTTATGGGATCAAGTTGAGTGATGCACACAAATTTAAGTGATATCCTTAAAATGGTAAAAGAAAAGAAGTGATAATCGCGATGACAAGCAATCTCCAACCAACTGAAACGGGATTATTAGATAAATGAAGAAGAGAGAAGAAAAAAGGGTAAAATGAAATGGCGGAAGGAACCTTGTCGTTAAGAGAGCATCTGGTTTGAACGTAGGAATCGGCGTCGAATTGATCGGACTTGAAGAAACTGATGCCATCCTCAAACTTAGCGCCGTTCTCCTTGACAGGCGTGGCTCTGGACCGGGCGGTCTTGGCGGAGGCCATGGAAATCTGATCCAAGAAATGGATCGGAACGAAGTCGACCACCAAAACCAGATCAAAAGGAGGAGGAAGGGAGTCTTGAAGGGAGAGATCGAAGGAAGGAAGCTCCGGCGGAGAAACAGGGAAGTTGGAAAAAAACGAAAGTCCAGAGAGAGAAGAAGATGATTGAAGAAGAAAGGGAAAGGAGGAGGAGGCAACCACCCAGCTACCCACCCAGCTTCACTGTTTCTCTCTCCGACCAAATTCTGAAGGGTTCGGTTCGCTGGTTTTTTTTTTTTTTTTTTTTTTACTAAACCGGTAACACCCGAACCGAACTGATGAATAACTGGCTGGTTGTCTCTTTGCGAACCGGTTTGGTTCAGTCTTTTTGGTACTAAATTGTATAGAATTTTGTCTGCAACTCAGATGATGGGTTGAATCAGTTTAAATTACTCTTTTTTTTTTCTTTTTATAAAAAAAAATGTATTTTAAATATCCAAAATAGTATATTACCTTACAAACAAAAAGTATTAATGTGTATATACTGTTAGACGAGTTAAGCGAACACGTATTAATGTGTATATACTGTAGACGAACACGATTCTCCACAATGGTATGATATTATCCACTTTGTGGCTTCATAATAGTATGATATTGTCCACTTTGAGCATAAGCTCTCATGGCTCCACAATGGTATGATATTGTCCACTTTGAGTATAAGCTCTCATGGCTACACAATGGTATGATATTGTCCACTATGAGAATAAGTTCTCGTAGCTTTACTTTGAATTTCCCCCAGAAAACCTCATACCAATAGAAAGTATTTTTGTGGGACTTTTATCCTCCAACGAGAGTTTAAAACAGAAATCGAGGTTGGAATATAATTAAAAAAAAAAAAAAAAAACTCTGAAATGATTATTATGATTAAATAATGAAATTTGTGATATTAAAAGGCTAGAAATTAATTATCAAATGATCGAAGAAGGTGGGTTTGGTTGAACCTCCGCCGGAAGTGGTTGAGGAGAAGACCCCTAAACCGCTCTATAATATCACTACTAAAATACATTTAAAATAATAAAATAAAAAGTTGGTGGATACAGAAGAATATAAGATTAGCAAAGGACCTTTTCCTTCATAGTTCATCTCATTTATTTATTACATTTTGCAAACCCTTTGGAAATTCCAGAGATTCATCAAAATCCATCTCCATTTAAGGCTTCATTCCAACAAACTGATTCAACAACCCTACCACCAATGTTCATAATATTTCCAACAAAAAGAAAAAGTAAAAAAAAGAAGCACCTTCAAGAGATCCACTCCCGACCTTCACGCTTCAGGATTATCCGACCGAATAACTGATGTAACA